TCTGGTAAGTTGATGTACATATGTCCAATAAACGTTTTGGACGGTCAAATGACATTTTTTAACTTATTTTTATTGAGAGTCGATAACCGCTGGACCGTCCTCTTAAAAACTGAGTTATCTTTTTTGGCACTTTTTACCCCATATCTTCAGAACGGTTAGACCTGCCTTCGCTAAAAACTAATCAACACGTCTCATTATCAATACGAATCGAATATTTTTTGAATTATTTAAATCGGTTCATCGGTGTTCCCGAAATCGTCGACAAAAATTTATATCCGCGCGCACACATACACATACACACACATACATCCATTTTTTCTAAGGTATGCCAAAATGTTCAGAAACCTTTAAAACGTAAAGTTATATAAAAATTTTCATTTTCGATTTTTTTGCGATTATTATAACTTGCCCTTAAAAGTTAAAAGGGAAGTTAAAAAATATTGCAATGCAAAAATGCAGTAACCACCTAAAGCTTATTTATAGCTCCACGGCAAGTGCTTTGGCCTTATAATTTCTATACCCGCCAAGGACAGCTTTAATACCTACTAGAAAATTTCTAACGAAAAATTTATCAAATATAGATAGGTCAACTGTTAAATCTTTTGAGAAACGTTATTGGTAATGAGTTGTTTTATCACAACTGTTCATAGAACTGTTAAGTTTTCATTGCTGTTTAAAAATAACAAAAAAATATATTTTGATCAATATTACTAACTAATTACAACCAGCATTAAATCTTATATTGCTAAATAGAAGGTCGTTTTCAATTGATACTTTTTGAATGATTTTTGATCTTTCATATTAACTAAATAACTAATTACAAATAAAAGAGCAGGTAATCCGTGTGAATCTCATCAGTAAGGTTCCAATTGATTTTTATCAGAGGGTTTGGGAATTTTTAACGATTGAAAATACATGGACGTATATATTCTCAACACAAAATAACTTGAATGATTTTGGTGGGAAAAATCAAGACGAAGCAAATGTAAAAAATCTAACAATAGATTGTTTTGGATTGATTGTCCAAACCAGTAACTAAATCGAAAAATAAACTGATTAAATAATTTAATATACACATTTAATAGAAATAATATTTAAAACATTGCTTTAGTTTTATTACACAATCTCAAAGTCACCGACATTGGTCAGAAGATTTTGTATTCATAAAGCACATTTTCTATTCTTAAAATTTTACTTATTATCATGTTAGGATAATTGTAAAACTTACCAGCTAGAGCTCTGCTATATAGAAGAATTATAGTAATCGCAAAAAAATTGAAAATGAAAATTTTTATATGTATATCTTTACGATTCAGAAGTTTCTGAACATTTTGGCATACCTTAGAAAAAATCGATGTATGAGTATGTGTGTGTGCGTGTGTGTGTATGCGTGTGTGCGTGTGTGTGTCTGCGTGTGTGTGCGTGTATGCGTATACACATTTTCGTAGCGATAACGCGTACACCGATTTGAATAATTCAAAAACCATTCGATTTCTACTGATAAGGAGACGTGCTGGTTAGTTTTTGGCAAAGGCAGGTCTAGCCGTTTCGGAGATACGGGGTACAAAGTGCCAGAAATGGTATTTCAATGTTTCAGAAGTTTTGCAAAGTTTTTTTTATAATTTAGTTTTCAAAACGTGAAGTTCAAGCAATTTGCCTTAAGGCACGATGCCATGCTTGAGGCATCAAAGGTTTTGATTACTTTGTTTTTAAGGAAACCTTTATTCAATTGTATTTTGTATTTGAAGTAGAAGTAACAGTGGCTACTTGTACTATTGCCATTTATTTATCATACGGCATTCAACTCATTATATTGTCTTTAGATTTACTAGATGTCCGCAAAAGACATTTGCAAATTATATGGCGATATAAAAAAAGGAAAGTTGTAAAAATTATTGGGTAGTAATAATACTAAAGTGAAGATTTATTGTTTAAACCAGTAACTTTATCAAAAAATGCACTTATTTAATCATTTAGCAGACATATTACTTGTTGCATGACTAAGAAAAAAAATGAATTCATAAAAATCGATAAAACCACCCTTATTTGAATAAATTCGCTGGAACGCGTTAGTTTTCAAGTTCACGTTCAGAGTTTAGAGTTATTACTTAAGGATTTGAAATGAGTACCCATCCATCATAATAAAAATAACAAAGCTTTTACCGTATTGTTATTTTAAACGATATCCTTAATTGGTGTTTAACGAGCGTCCTTACGTACCTATTTGAGGTGGGCAATATTTAATGTAGCACCCTCTCGTGACTGATCGAACGCCCACGGCACGTGATTTAATGGAATAGGTTGGCACCGGCACGCGACCCGGAGGGTTGATTTTAACACCCTTTTTATTTATTGTAGAATGCGCTAATTATTGTACTTCCTTTATGTTTATTTTAGTTTTCGAGGTTACTAAATGGTGTTATTAATTTCAAGCATTCATGCGTTAGTGAAAATTGAAAAACGTATTACGCCTCTGGAATAAATTTGAAGTAAGACCATAGGGGGTGGAGTATACTATTTAGTAGAGAAATGTGGCAAGTAAAGTTTTATAAACTATCTATCTTATTATTTTGCGGTCAGAGTCTCAGACAAGATTCCAATTATTCACGTCCCGAAGGAAAAGTTTGCATTTTTATCAGAAAATCACCAGAACATCCGACTTAATAATTTTGTTTTCAAATTGTTTGACACCAAAATTGGAAAAAGTATGCTTGTGTGATGATGGACATAATTATTAGCACGATAAATTTGAACTATTCACAGTTTCTAGATGATTATGTAAATAGTCACAATTTACAATAGTAAATTATCTATTTTGTTGTAGCAGGTGCAGTTTTGATTTAACTCTTTTTACTTATAGTGGTTGATTTAACACTTTTTACTTTTGGATGGACCCCCCTATAGAATTGTAACATCATTGTCACATTTTCAATAATGAACCAACAAATCAAGTGTATGTATGCAAGCCAAAATTAAGAAACAGGTCAAAGTATGTGATGACAATTTTTTGACACAATTGTTGGCTAGATGAAGGAATTTGATGTTTTTGCAGATGATAGATGATAATTATCTTCATAGTCACAATTTACTATGGTAAATCATCTATTTTGAGATAACAGATGAAGCTGAACATAATTTTTGAACCACGCGGTTAGTTGTTGATTTAACACTTCTTATTTATGAATGAAACTTCACAAATTATTTTATAGAATTATAAAATCATTGCCAAATTTTCCTTAATTGAACAACAAATCAAGTGTATGTATGTGAGCCAATATTAAGAAGGCAAATGTATGTGATGACGATTTTTCGATACAATTGTTGGAAAGATGAAGCAATTTGATCTTTTTGCAACTTCTAGATGATAATTATTTAAATAGTCATAATTTAATAAATCATCTATTTTGAGGTAACAGGAACAAAGGAATATATTTTTGAACCACACTGTTAGTGGTTATTTTAATACTTTTAATTTATGGATAAAGCTTCACAAATAACTCTATAGAATTATAATATCATTTCCAAATTTTATATGATTGCATATAAATCTAGTGTATATATATATATACGACTCAATGTCCTCAAATCTAGTGTATAGTGACTTATGTCTCATTTTTTCTCAAAAATACAACACCGATTTTAAAAATTTACAACCTATTTGATGAAGCTCTACGTTGATTAGGATCGGGAGACAATCGACCTAGCTGTTTCCTCAGAATTATCAAAATAGTGCAAAATTATTTATGTTTCAGCAAAAACTCCTGAACCAATTTTGAAAATTTAAAAATCTGTCGAAAGATATCTGTTGAGCATTAATTTTTGGTAATGATTTACCAAGCCGTTTCTTGATAATAATTTTTTTAACGATTTTGATGAATCCTTGTATAGAGTTTAATGAGTTTAATGAGCCGTCAAAATTTCAAAATTCTATCGTGATAATTTTGAAAGTTGCTAATCTCAAATCTTATTGATTAAGCTTTTATATGCACATGTCGGGAAGCTTATGCAACTTGCTTCAAGACAAAATTCCACTTACACCTAGTTACGTTTTGCAGCCTTTCTCTATTCACACGACGTTTTTTTACAAACGCCACTCATTTTATAACTTGCAAATCCTACAAACATTACTACTGAAATAAATAACTTCGTAGAAATAACAGTAATAAAATTATATTATATAGATATTTTTATATTGCGGAAATAACGATAAAAGTTTTGATGAAATGAAATTAAAATATTAAAGAGTTATTTTGCATTCCAAATATAATATTATTGCGTCTCAGCCATGGCATACCTTATCTACCCATGAAAATTATTTAAAATTTATCATTTTCCGATCATTTAATTTAATAACATGATACTAGTATTGAGGAAACATAAATAATTTAAACTTAATTGATTTTACAACTTTTATTATTTCTTCGAATTGCATGTGTAAAAGAGTATACTTTTACAGATTGCGAAGTGATTTATGTTATGTAATAAATAATAAAATAACTCTGAATAATTTAGTATAGGCGCTGATGGTAATTTTAAACCACTTATATAGATTAAAAATTTTTGAAGATTAAATAAAACAACTTAATATATGAGCATTTAAATGTGTGTAAAAATTACCCCAACATATATTTGAGATTATTCAATACAGATAAAATATTGAATTTTTAAATGAAATCTATGAATGAAAAATAATTTCACTCTTAATTTTTGACTGTTCATAATAATCCAATAGTTGCAAGAATTCGGTAGTATTAACCCTTTCCACTCGCGAATTACGAGATTTATATGTTTTTGCCATCCGAGTGGAAAGGGTTAAGAATATATAACACATTTGTATATTTTTTGATTAAATATTGTTTTCATGCCCACAAAATCAATTTTTTATAGGTTTTATTTGGTTTTATGTCATATCGTACGTAATATGAGACATGTGACAATATCTTATATATTTTCTTTTTATATCGTAACCGCCCTGAGGTATTTCAATTTATTGATTTCAGATGCGGAAGACTCGCGTATCAAATCATAAATCCTTGGAGCTTAATACAATTTCCGTACGTAAAAGCAGCCATTTTATCGACATATCATGATGAACCATGTGGAACCTGCAAGGTAAAATCATAAAAGGAAAATGTATATGTTTTAGTACTAATAAAAACATACATGTAAAAATCATTTTAGATACAAATACCTGATGAAACGACTTTGCGTCAAAATAACACTTCTGAAGAGCCTGTAACGAAAGAAATTCCTACAATTTCAAGCGATTTTCTAGAATCTCAAATAAATTTTACTTTAAATGAGACTTTGAAGCAAGATGCAATGAATAATTCAAATTCAGGAGTATTTATACTCAATGAAGAAGGTTCTGGTGAAGTTGATAACGATTTTTCTCTCCAGAAGATCATTTTGATCCTGAACTGTTGAAAGGTTACAATATTCAAATACCAAATAATCCGCAAAATGTGGATACAACAGAAATCAACTTGACGCAACAAGTTGATCAAGAACCTATATCAAGATCAACTGTATATGAAGAAGATTCCACATCTGATATTTTTGATAGTACAAGTACAACAATAGATCATTTCGAAAATGATAAAAGTATGGAAAGTACTACATTCGACACGGATGACGGAAATAATAACAATCACAAATACTTGACAATAGCACGTATTTAGACACCAGTTCTAACCATCTGTCATCATCAAACAATGTTCTAGGGGTGACGATATGGTCGGAGATATATTCTCCCAAGCCGACGTTAGTTTGCACAATGAATACGACTACATCGTGGTCGATGAGGAGTCGCACCACAAGGAGGAATATTCAACGACTCAACCAATTACAGAAAGTGAACTTTCTACCCCAGCAACCCCAAAAAACGACAATGTTCGTAAACAAAGTTCAGCGATGGACGAGACAGATATGACGGAAGAGCAGAACCATAATCAAGTTGACAACATCGTCGAATCGAACTGGGAGATCTTCAGAGGATTCCCAAGGGGGCGCCCTCTGAATCCGTCTACGAGAAGGGTTCATAGTCACAGTCAAAAGAGCGAAGATCACTTGGTGCCGATAAGAATAATCTTTCATTCCCCCCACGTACACACGTCAGGGCGTTTCATTAAAAAACACGAATACGTCGTGTTGAAAACCGGTCAGCCGGATTTCCACGGTCACGTCAGGGCTGAAGAAGATTCAGTTTTTCAGCGACACTTTGATCGAGAA